TAAATGGGCAGAAGGAGTGGAGGCAGCTCAGGAATAACAGCTCTCTAACGAATCATGTTCATTGGGTGCATAAACAGGTAACTAAACAAATGTCTGGGAAGCCAGTTTATCGAAAATATTGTGTTACAATCAATCGATTTACAATCAATCGATTCACCACATATCGATGAGTTTAGCCCAACGCACCGCACCCGCGCGCTCCCCGAGCTGGTAAATCCTTCTATTTCTAGGGTCATGTACTTGGTCACCGGTCGTGCAACGATAATAAATAAATAAAAAATACTCCCAACTAGTCAGTATATGTGGTGATGCTTATGAAGCGATTTTACTTTGATGCATGAAATACAAGTCAATTTTATGATGCTATGTGCATAGCTTTTCTAACAGTGACTAATTATTTACATTGCTTTTACTTGTTTGCTTTTCTTAACGAGATGATATCAAGGATGATAATTATCTTCATTCAACTCTGCATTTAAGCTTAATTTTTGTGGCCTAATCGGTATCGTATTTATTGGTGTAAGACATGCACGTTTTGTTGTCCAGAAGTTCTTCAAGTTTTTTGAAGTTCAAGATCCAGTTCTGACGTAGAATTCGTTGTTATAGTTTGGTGTCACAATGATGGGCCGAAAAAATCAGTGCGTCGATACTAATATGTACTTTCCTATCTACCAGCCTGATACTTACCCTCTTTAAGCATACCCGAATCGGAATCCGTACCGTGTGAAATGGCTAAGGTTCTCATATCTTCGGTTTTCTCAGTTCGCGTTTTGAGAGAAGTCTGCTGCCGCTCAAATAAAAATAAGGAACAAGTCTTGATGCGTTAACCAGTCCCGTCTGAGGGATGCGCCATGCATTCGATTTCTATTCAGTACTTCCCACGTTCTGCTGCCTAGATGGTGACAAAAAAATTGAGCGGGTAACTACCAAGCTGAGTGTAAGCTCCAAGAAGCATCAAAAAACCGATGGCAAAGCACTTCCAAGCGACATCCACTTGTGAGAGACTAGCTGGACCCTTTTCCTTTGAAAGATGCAATACATTTCTCTCGCTTGTTGCTCCCCAAAACTACTAGCTCGTGAGAACATTTTTGCAAAGGCAAAGCTTGAACCTAATGGCATACACCTTTGGCCCTTTCCAACTAGTTTTTAAATGCCACTACAATATTGAAGGTAGCATCTCTGCAGTATGTTTGCACAGAAGTAGATTTCTCGGACAGCAATTTTCGTCGGCATTTCTGCTTGACAGAAATGATGCACTGAGGTCAAGTTGTTGACGAACATCTTACGGTTGCTTTACATTTCTAAGGCAATATAAAAAAGGATTCCGGTGGTAGATATGCTAAAGAGGGTAGGGGAAAATCATTAATGAATGTTGGTCGAAGCATTTGTCAAGAATCGATGGAAGTATTTTCAGATTTTGTGGAACCATCTGCGGAAGCGACTCGAAACGGTGATTTTTACTGAGCTCATGTTGTTTAGTGGTTTTCAAACTCCTTTGTACATAGCTAGGAATGAAAAGTAGCTTCCTTCTCATGAGTTATTTAGCATAATCACAAGCAATTAGGGTTTAACTTGCAATAAGGTGAAGTTAAGAATGGGAAGAGCGAATTTGGTGAACTTTGCTACAAGATATTTTGATACTACTAGTATTTTATTTGTCGATTCATTACTTGTGCTTACTGTATCGGATCTTCTTGCTGTTCTCTATTGTAACTTATGGTTAGTGTTAACCACCTCCCTTCGATTACCATTGGTCTATATCGTTCAGTGGCTGTCACCGAACCTCGTTCTGAAGTCTTTAGATCTAGGCGGGTACATGCTGTGGACCACTTACAAATATCGCTTCAAATCCTATATTAGCTTTTATTATGTTCTCCAGTAATCATATCGCACCAAGAAAATCGGCATTTAGAACTCGGTGGAGGAGCGAATATGATAGAAGTAAAAGTTGAAGTTGAAGTAAGGGTGCACGATTCCCCGTTGCTGCTTATCCGCATATGATATGCTTCTAGCTAGTCTTTTCTTTGGGAACCGTGTTTGTCCGTTCGACTACTCAAATTTTACACGTCTTCTCCTGGCTTTCGAACCCTTTCTCTCTCTAATCTCTGACCTTCATATCTATATACATATATTTTATATTTGTATATAAGAAATCGTTGGAATATGCTGTAGCAGAGTGCTCTTGTAATGAACTCCGCATGACGGGCTAGGACGATAAGCGGCAGTGCACGAAAAATGAACGGAATTGATGAAACTATTTCAGGTGCTACTCCGGTTAGAACAGTAGCGAAAGAAATCATGGAGCGTATAGTTCGACCGAAAACTTCAACAATCATCCTGAAGGAGCCACGTGCGTGATAGTTATTTTCGTCTTCCATACACATACTGGAGGGAGAAGAACTTTTCTCAACCATAGTGTGGGCTAGGCTTAGGCCTAGAAACTTCGAGCCTAGAAACTAGGTCCCGTACTTTGCTCACCTTATTCCTTTTTACTTCTTCTAGGCATACACACTTGGGTCTACGCATTATTACCTCAGCTTACTATTATTTTACGAGTGGCTAACAATGATTATCAAGATCATTAAATTTGGTAGTTTAAGTCCTGAGTTACTCTTATAACGTTCGCCATCGCCCTTTAAGGATGAGAAGGATGAGTGCCGCTGAGCATGATTTTCCTGCATGCTGTGGTAGGAAATCGGCTCATTTGCATTCGTAGTTTTTGAAGAAGTTCAAACAGTATCAACTCCAAATTTAGAGAAGCATCCTGTGGCATTGCATGCCTGACTCGTCCGAGGGATTGGTGTAGCTGAAACCTGGATCTTGAATCTCTAGTCTTGTTAACCATTACTTACTATCGTTATATCAGTCAGGGTAGTGAAGCGGTGTAGAAGATAGCTTTCTCGTTCATTATAAAAGTCCATTCCAGAGCTACCTTCACTTTACCAGTTTATAGGAGTGTCGTGCTGAATATGAAACTTTCCACGAGGTTTTTTTCCTCAAAAAAGCAAAATGTGAAGTTGGGATCCTTAAATGCGGATTCTACCCCGAGAGAGGTGCTGAATTACTAGCACCCTATACTCGGCGTAAAACCGTTCCTGTTAGGACACATATCGGGGCTCGAATACTTTACTGGTATTCAAATACTCGAAGCCAATACTTTCCGCGAACCGTGCTTATCTGTTACTCTAATTGAAGTATCAGCTAAGAAAACGAAGCAGTACGTCAGAAGGCTGTGAGGTTGTTCGCTGGTGTGACTGCTCGCCGAACTATATTATGTTTGAATCTTTTGCTCGATTTTTTTCCTTTCAGGGAGACCATTCAAATTAGACTGCACTACGGAAGAGGATCAGAAGGGCGCTTTGTGCGAAATCTGGGCTCAAAGCGGTCTGTGCCAAGCTCATCGTCCGACAATGTTTTTGTTCTGTCGAAAGACATGTCTCTGCGGTGGTGACCCAGCGCTTGACTAACAGCATTCTTGATAAATTGTAAATAGTTGTGACTGACTTTGTTTATTTATTCTCTACAGAACTCTGAACTCTTTTGTTCTCGAAAACTTTCTCATTAGATTTCCTAACTTATTGGTTGTTGCTCTGTCTAATGGTCTGATGCGAACTTGGCCGACTTGACGTTCCATTTGAAGGCATTCATTCGAACTCAGCGAATTCTGAGCTCAATAGTACGGCGACGACAGTAGTGATATTGATTATTTTTAGGTTTTTTTTATGAAATTTATCGATTGACTACGTCCGCAGCTATTCGTATATGGACTCTTGTTGTAAGTATGGTTAAATGATGTCTGATTAACCGTCAACTGATTTGAAATTGTACAACCGAAGCGTTTTTTTTACAACGTTCAGAGTGTTCAAAGTCGGAGTGTTTCTACGGTTTTTTCCTTGGGAAGGAAAATGTTCAAGTAGAATAATCTAATGATTCCCCAGATGGAAAGCCGGTTCCCTGTCAAAGTCGACAGGCGGAGTCGAGAGAGTGACAGTTATGGAATCCGCTGTATGAACACCACCACTCCGTTGAAGGATTTCGTTGAAATTGAAATCAGAAAGTTTCAGTGTATTTCGGACTTTATAGTTCTTAATAAGATTTCCTTAACTCGTGGTGAAAGAGGATGGCAAACTTCAAACTATGGGGAAAGCAGTGAAAGTGGCGACTGTTGTAGGGTCCACCATGTTTTCAATAGCTCTAGTGTGCACCTTTCTGCAGTTGGGTAAGATAAATTGAGCTCAAGAGAGTTTCGGATGATTTTCTTGCAATAGCGATATTTTTCTATAACCCTTCACATTTGACGATGTCAACGGGCTAATTTCGTTTTTTGTGATCCATTTTGATTAGTTTTTTAGGTATCCATATAACTCGAACAGGAGCCTAAATAGATAAACATTCAACTGAATGCAATCAAAGTGAATTTATAAACTGCTAAAAGGTGTTCGACTATGGTCTGATGATTTCCACATGTGACACCTACATCTTCGTGAACACTGTATGTATAGATGATATGAAAACTACTAAAAAGTAAAATAATGAAAAGTAGTGGCTAGAATAAAGATAGTGGCTGATGAGTTCTCATGGCTTTTGAAAATTTCATATTAAAAGTCATGAAAATCCATTTTAGCCATTATTCTAGCCCCGTCATTTGATATCAGACCTATATGAGAAGTAGGAATGAGCCTTGGAGCTCAAATAACCTTCTATGGGCTATGGACTTTCAGTTTTACTCAGTCTAATTCACATGGGAATTCGAAGGGGTCCCTTCAAAAAAGATTGGTGTAGTAGGTATCAAAGGGTAATTCGAGGCTCAGTCCTTCTAAGCCCAACACTGGTGTTAAGCAAATATGTTTGATTCTGATCCCAATAGATCAAGAATTCGATTTATATCGACTGAACCCACCCACTTGTAGGGGAGGTCTTGTAAGGTGGCCCGTTCAGCCACCTAGTTTTCCGACGACGAGCTGCCTGTTACTTCGTGTTTTTTATCAAACTATTTTCATTTATATATTTGAATCTAACGAAGTCCATCAGAGTGGTCACTTGTACACTTAAAGCCTTTGCTTTCAATTACTCCTTTCAGGACCACTATGTTGAAATCCCTTCTAAACATCAGATATGGCCGAACGGAAGAGGTAAAGTATAACAGCCAACAATCTTCTCGCTCAGGATGTAGCCGAGGTAAGAAATTACTAGATTTCGTGAAGTGGTGAATTGAATATAAGCAAAATCAACAACAAGATGTACGAAGATGTTGCCATTTCATTCTTCAATAGGTTAATTGTAAAATGCATTATGAAGTTAAACGATAAACCTCACGGAAAGTCATGAAAAACTTAAAATTAGCAGGCGCTCTGCTTTAACTAATCAGTAAAATATCATTTCCTAATATTCTTATCGACAACGAATTCTGGATGTGATTCGTTATGATAAGATAGGATTTTTTGATCTCTACGAGAAAAGAAAGTTATGAGGTATCTGAAAGTTGCACTTATGGAACTTCACCCAACTTCTCATCCATTTCGTCAACATATGATTTAATGGGATTGGGGACACAACGAATTTTTGTTGGTGATACCTACGGCATTTTATTGATACCTACTCATGTCGCTATAGGATTAGACCATACAATTATTTTTGTATAATAATAACCACATTACAGAATGAGCGTATCATCAGGTTTATGAGTGAACGATTGTAGTCAAAGGTAGTATGCTGTGCTTCAGCTACCTCAGCTTTTGCTATTCATTCCTCGTCGTTGTGAAGAGCTTTGCAAGGTGACCATCCCCGGTTGTTTTTCATCCAAATGACCAGTCCTTTCGTAGCATCTCAAAATATCGTTGAGATTGCTGTGTACTGCTCACCACCATCTCTTGGCCAAAAGTCGATTTGATATGTAGTGTAGGATCGTGGTGTATACGGTTTCGACGGACCTGCAAGTATTAAACGATTTCCAACAGTGCGCTGTCATATGAGAAATAGGGCGGAATAATTGCTCAAGCTGTATCCACACCCACAGCGGACGAGTTTAGTTCGACGGAGTTGTGGAGGCTGCATCATCCACAAAAGGATACTCATATTGGAATATGAACAGCTAGTCCTGATCCATGACGGCAATTTCAGGCATTTTCGATCACTCAAACCGGGTCTTTGCGGTGAAATCTCGTCTATATCTATATCTCTGCATTTCTGTCATGGAACTCTCGTGCAAACCCTACTTATCCTCTGGAACGCCTTACACCGATACTCTATCCTTCTCTAACATTTCCCCCTTCAAAGTTGAGAAGCGTACCTCAAAATCATCCCGAAGGGTGCCTCTAACTGTTCGATTAATCCCCCGTGTTGGTGCGGTTCACACCAATGTTAAAGAGTCATCGCAGGACGCCAACCTTACAGAGATGGGAGTCCATAAGGTCTGCGTCCCACGATAACATTGGCTCGCCCTAATAAAGGAGCATGTATGGGGTATACTCTATCCTAGTTTACCTGTTTCAGTGGAATATTAAGGTTACTTTTTCACTTTTGAGGCTGAGAATTATCCAAGCCGTTTGTACGTAAAAAGAAAGAATTACCTTCTTAAACAAGCGTTTCAGCTCGCTTTGCCAATGATTGTTGTGGTACAGCATAACTAAAGGCATCGTAAAACCATACCTATAAAATCAATATCAAGGTTTGACTGAGCAAAAAGAGCCGTAAGTAAGCACTTATATGTAGATGCTTCAATGAGTGACAAGAAGAAAGCAGTAGATCCACCTGCTCTTCAAACAGCCCATATCAGAAAGGTGGCAATGCTTATAAAAAAGTACGTAAATCGTTCGACGATTGGAGGTACAGAAAAACGCTTAAGCGAAAAACTCAAATTAGGGACTGAATTTTTTGAACGGGAGTTCTATAGGCTTTGAGTTGCTCTATAAGATTGGTTGTTAGCCTGCTCCAGAGGTTTTTTTTTATAAATCTGCCTTTCTATTGATGCAACGAGATTTCATATGGTTTTTTTTGTTTTTTCTCATGTTTACTTTTGTTTATTTATTTATTCGTTTATTCGTTTATTTATTTATTTATTTA